CCTCGTTATGTACTTCTTTTTCTTCTTTGCAATGGTGATTCATTGCTGTGAAGACAGGTGAAGAAATAGAGAAATATACATTTACACATTCTAATCTTAGTAATTGAAATCGCTTATTTCTTGTACACCAAATTGATCCTTCAGTCCTCAAGGCTGCAATTGCAATATCTTTCAATGAAGCACTGTGATACCTGTGTATCTTATGTATGTCATAAATTAAACATAAATAATTAGACATTGCAAAGTTTCTTTGTACAAAATCTTTGATGTAGTTAGAAATGCACTCTATTAATTCATTTTATATGCTCTACCATGTTTTTGCAACAATTGAGTTATACTCAACCAAGCGGCAAATACTTTTTGGTTCCGAACGTTGCCATCGGAATGGCCATGACTATGGCCAGAACACAACCATTGGAATTCCTTTAACCACAACTGTTTGAAACTAAGGTTGCAGTTTTTTTTGAAATATTTTAACTTCTGTACATGATATTTACAGAAATTCAGTAGGGTACCTAACCTTTCCTTGCAGACTTTCTTTGTCTTTCCATCACGGAAATGGTTTTTATAATAAAATTCACACAATATCATACACAGGATTCCTATTTGAAACACCACAGCACTATTAAAGTGATATATCATACTGGAAGAAGAATCGTATTTCTTAAGCCACTACTTCACCAGAACGAAAGGAGCAGCATGGAGTACATGCTGTTATCACGGGTTACATCACAGTTGTCATAGTAACCACAGAGACAAGCAACACCCTGGATACTGAGACACTTTAAAAGGCGGCTTCCTTCACTTCTGTGGCCAGAGGGGTTGGTGGCACACTTGTCCGTGCCTATGTGTATTTCAACTGCGCAGTATTTCCATGCACATGCCATCAAAACTACATTTACATTTCTATTAAATCCAACATGTAGTAGGTGTCAAGGAAAATAAATTTAAAGAGTACTACTTCACCTAAAAAGGCCGACCCTGCTTCTTTATCATCCTCCTCTTACTTCTTTACCTTTGATGTCACATTCTCTTTCATTGTTATGGCCTCTTCTTCCTCCTCCTCCTTTGTTATCACCATTGTCAGCTCCTTTGCCTTCTTTGTTGTTGATATCTTCTTTTTCTTCAGTGTAGATGTCTTCTTCTTCTTCTTCTTCTTCTTCTTCTTCATTGGCGTCTTCTATGTCAACACCTTTTTCATTGTCTTCTTCTTCTTCTCCAGGATTATCTTCGTTCTTCTTCATGGACATTTTTTCTTTTGCTGTGTCTTCCTCTAGGTCATCTTCTTGTGTGTATTGTTATTGCCTTCTAATTGCACATTATCAATTTTTTCTTTATTATTGTTTTCATTGGATTTAATTTACTGAATAAGTACGATAACTGCAATGTACATAATATATTCAATATGCACAGATCTGTTATCAAAAATTAAAAATTCTGCATAACATGATCATTATTAAAGACGTTTCTTCATAATTAAACATTTCTCAATTGTAAATTTACTACTTGATAGAAAATGAAAGTATTTCTACACTGAAGTCATTTTTTCACTTTAAATGAAAACTGCACATAAAAATCATCTCTTGAAAAATAAAATTTGATGTTCATCATGTTCCATTATTTGAACTTGACCACAAAATGCCAACTTGTTATGAAGACCTGTCAAATGAAAAGAAAGAATTTAAAAATGACTGCAGACACATATTTTCAAAATCACAACTTATATGATTAGAATATTTTGAGAAGCACTTCTTCACAATCATCAACTTTTCATCATATAGTCACTTCTACAAATGATTGATATTGCAAACTTGTCCACGCAAAGCTTAATTATCTAGTTTTTTTAGCACTGCAAGATGTACATGGCCGTTTTCTATAACCATCTTTTGTGCGTCCACCATTTGTGCTTCTTTATTCCCAAATAACCAGTGAATCTTTTAATTCAAATAATTCTTTTAATTCAGATTCATTCAAGCTCAGATATATGAAACAATAATTTTTTTGAACATATGAAACAATAATTTTCAAAAAGTCAAAACTTGTTCAATGTCACTCAATATTCAAACTTAAAAAGACCGAGATCATGGAGATGCCATCATCTTCCATGTGTCATCTATTTTTTGGTTCTCCTGAACTCCTAATCTACATCTATTTGAGACATTATAAACCAATTACACCATTTATCATTCTACATATAATGCATCCATTTCTTGACTTCTGCATTATCTTATTACTGTTAAATTTTCCTCATATAATTTCAGTCTTAATATGAAGAAAGGAAGCACAAAGGACTACAAGGGAAAAAAAAAAAAATTGTTTTCTAATGCAACATGAATGTTAATTATTAACGCACATTTCACATCAGAAAACAATTTGCAAATGAGCGTGATGCTTTCTTCAAATGTTTCAAAGCCATGCCTCGTATTTTCAATATACTTCATCAAACGGCACTTGATATCTAAAATTATAGCCTATATAATGGAAATGTGCAGCCAGTAAATCTCTCAAATTAATTTCACATTCAAAAGTAGACATTTGTTCCAGGCAGAAATAAAAACAATGATATTCCATTTATTATCCACATGCAAATGTGGTTTTAGGTCACTGTGTCTTGCACTCCTTGATACTCGAATAAGCGGTCCATGGGTTGTGGATGCGAATTGTTTCACTAAATTAATTCACTGTCTTCACTCCACTCTCTTATTGCTACTACATACAATCAGCAAAGTTTATTTTTGTTTTTAAATACTGTTCCTGTACAATCCAACATTTCTAGTGCCACCCTAATCATTTCTTAGATTTCATCTTCTTAATCAGTAGGCTTCCTTTTTTTGCATATAGGTTGGTAGGGTGAATGCAGAAAATTAATTAAGATTGGTATGTCTATGTAGCTGAATTCATTCTCTATCTGGATTCTTTGAAATACTGTGTTGATATAACATGTAGGCATTGATGAACACATCTTATCTTCCTGAAAACCAGGTATTATTGACAACAATAGGCACCTATTGTTTTGACACATATATGAAGAACATTTTGCAGCAAATACAATAAGAGTCCATGCAAACACATTACCTAAAAGACTCAAACGCCTTCTACATGTTTGTGTTTGACGATCTTCTGTACCCACTATTTTAAAATACAAACATTAAAATCACTTGTAGAAATCAGAAGATAAAAGTTGAAGAGCATACAATTGCATGTAGTAAACATTAAAATTCTCATATAAAATGAGAATACACATATGATATCAAATTGAAAATCCCAAGAATTAGCAAAGTAATGACATGTTATGTTTTCGTCTGAAGACTTCCAGTTTTGTACAAGAATACATCAGCATGATTACCAAATCCAGAACATCCATTCATAAACTTTTTATCAGCAGGAAATCTGTTAAAGAGTGACACTGAATCCAAATATGTCAATCCAATCCCACATGTTTTGAAGCAAAATATAAAACTGACATTAGATCTCAATCTTCCAACTATCCTTACACACAAGAAATTTGCAAACATTTATGAAGTTAAAGGATGGAATGTACACATATACAAGAATGAAATTAAATACTGCAGGTCAGAAATGTTATAAAGAGTCACTAAATGACTTCATTCACACATTAATAATAATTACGCATACTTTACACAGCAGTTGCCATCATCCAACCTGGTTCATGACCAATGTTAGAATATAATCGAATATATAAATGCTGCACTGGCTACTTGTTTTGTTTCTAGGCAGTAAAAATAGGGGTTTTCCCAGAAACATAAGATATATGCACTTATTCATTTGCATCAAAAGGGGGAAGAAGTGAATGAATGACTAAGTAAACAAAATTAATGCTGTGGGAGGATCATGTACGAAAATAAAGTAGCATACTTTCAGAGATGCACAAGAAATGGACCCTTCAGCCTACAAGTGATATTGCCAATTACGTAAAGCTGTTTGACAGTTACTACATCACAAATGTGACAGATAAAATGTCAAATTAGAAGAAACTGTTACAGCAGACCAAAAGAAGACATAAAAGAAAGCAAATAAGACAAAAAATAAATTCACAACTATTTTTAAGTCTCAATTACAAACAGAACAGTATCGTGTTAAATTTACTGTATCATATATTGTTATTATGTTAAATTTCCACAAGTTTTCAAAACCTTACTCGAATTTTTGTAAATTTCACATAACTCGAACATGATTTAATATCTTTTACATTCAAAATTTTACAAAAGTAATAAATAAATAAAAAGCATGTTTTAAGGCAAGATAAGTTTCCAAAGGCAACATCATTTACTGGCTCTTATAATAAATATGCTTCTTGTGCAAAGCATCAATGAAATCAACTTAACAAATTATTGTAGTACAAAGAATACTGAGTGGACAATGTGTAAATGACATTAAAAGGTATAGAACAAATTATTTTTTCAGCCATCTTCCAGTTTAGTTGATGGTAACTCTAGTACAACAGTGATCACAGTAAAATCTGCTTCAACAAGCTAAATATTATTCAAACAGAAATAAAATATCTAATGAAGGATCACAGCAAGTAATTTTACAAGATCCATTAAATAATTAGGTACACTTTTTAAAATAATTTGTATAGTAAGAAATGGAATAATTTTATCATTCCAAAAGGTAATATGTACAAAGTACTCGTCTATAACAATTGTCGTGATAAATTTGCTCTTGACATCAAGAATGAAACACTTGGGTTCACTCCTCATCGAAAGTCAAGAGTCATTTTACCAAATCATTTAAGAGTTCAAGAAATTATTATCATTACAGTAAATGATTTTGTGATCACTGATAATTCAACATCAACTTCATTATGACACTCTTCCTAACAAGAAATAACATAATGATCATGTTAATACCATATAAAGAAAAGGAACCTCATCACATTATTTATTTTATTTCACCACAGTCCATTTCCAATAATCCTCCACCACAGAAAAATTGTTCAAATGTATGTTGCAAGAACATACACAATGTTTAGTACTTACAATTTTTTCACTTGCCAATGCCTGAGCCTCTTGGAACAGCTTGAGATCATAATCTGGTACCAAATTGGAAAGCCGGGGTTCACGTTCTTTGCCATCCGCAGCGGCAGCTTCTTCTGGCTCAGGAGGCTGAGGTTTATATTTGGATCGTGTTTCCTTGATTTTCATATGATAGTGGCGCTGATCAACAGTAATATGACTTTTTGGAGACTTCTTGCTCATTAAAGCTGATGCTTTCCGACGGTCATCTTCATGCTTTTTTCTTTCTTGTGCCCATTCCTAAAATGAATCATACGGAAAGACAGATGTATATGGGTACATGTATTGAAATATAGAGATTCAAAATATTAGAATTAATATTCAGATCTCCAGATTCCTACAACTATGGGTTCATCTATGTGTACAAAACTTTGGTTGTTGTAGAACTCTAACAAATATCATTACATGCACATGCTTAGAAAGGAATACAGAAGAAGTACGAATATTACATGACACATCTTAAAAGCAATGATGAAATACAATTTTTAAAATGCTACAACAAACATGCATACTACAAGTGACCAAAATAACAGAAAAAAGTAATATTGCCTTGCTAAAATTTGTTGACCAAATATGGTGTTGAATCCCAAACAGATAAAGGCATAAAAAATCTAGTTGTTAAATGCATGCCCTACTGTATCTATGTACTTTGATAGTAGTCAATTGTTTCAGATTTTTATTCTTATGTAGATCAAAGTTAGTTCTGCATAGCATTTCAATTAACTTTGGAACATAGTTAACATTATTAAATTCTTCAACAGATGGAGGAGTTTCCCTAAGAAAATCATATTCTTTCTTTATCTATTCACATCAAGAAGTCTTTATGTAATATTGGTTATGTTTTGTTGGCATTCCAAATATGAGAATAAAAAGATGTTGCCAACATTTTTTTTATTTACATATTACTATTAGTAGTGTTCGATGGCTGATGAAGACTATACTAGGATTTATTTAACCATGCGTTTGAAGTAAATCAATTGCTCACAGTTTCATCCAATCGGGTGTGTGAACGTTCCTGAATCAGGCACAGGAACGTCACTGTAGCGATATAAGCTCCTTATTGGATGAAACCACAATAAACAAAAACTTTGGTAATGATGCTTTTTATTCTCATACTCATACAAATCCAGGTTTGCTAAGGTATCACCAGGCAATTCCAAGATAAGCAAAATAATACTCGATTCCTCAAAAATATGAAGAATCATGTAATTAGAATAAAATGAATTTTCTGACTGGCAAAATTAAACAAATCTTTTATAGACATGAAAATCTAGCATGGATCACACAATCAAATCAAGAATGATATTAAAAGTTCATGTTATATACTGTATGTTCAATATTTATCCAAAAATATGAGTTAGTGTGTCTGTTTAAATTATTGCCTTGCATACTTCATCATTGATATTTTATTACTGTAATGCTAGGCACATACGATAAGAATAAAACCACATACAGATGTTGTTTAGGTATATCCTGAAATAATTTCATATGTATGGAATTTGATGACTTAATTTCAAAGAAATCTAGCTCAATCCTCACTTGTTTTTACAGCAATATTTCTGTTCTACAACACTATGTGAGATATATGGAAATAAGATTACAAATTTAGTATCTAGAGCTCTGATTCCCTGCATTAAAAAGCATTGTCGTTACCAATTAAAAAAAGAACTGAAATTGTTGAAATGGTTCTGAGACTTGTTTTAAACTCTTCAATGTAAAAGAGAGTGAGAGAGAATGAAAAAAAGTAAGTAAACAGCCGAGAACAATACTTCTTAAAAACTAAAAACTTAGTAGTGTTTTTTTTTATAATACAACTTTGTATTGGTTTCATTTAATATATTAGTTTGTTAGCTAAGATTATGAAATTAACTAAAGCAATGAGATGACAAAAGTTGAAATATAAACAATTATGTATGATCAGTCAAATCAATAAAATATCGATAGTTGTATGTAATTTTAAACACTTTACTCAATGTGTGTGTATACTTATGATCTCAACAACCTGGCAGATAGTACTCTTTTCTAAAACACTCAATAGGAACAGTGTTTAACCATCTTAGAGCATTTTGATGTTTATTTTTACTGCTAGCAAATGGCAGATGCAACCTGAAACAACCTTTGAATGCTTATTCTGCCATGGGAAACTTTTACTACATGACTTATTATACATATGTGTGCCATCAATTTTTCACATCTAAAAAATCCATTCGAACTGGCCAGGGGTCAAACTTAACAACAGGCTGGAACACTGCCAGTTGAACCATTGCAACTGGATACATTTCCGGATGATATTAAAAAATTAAAATTGATTTACAAAAGCAAACACTGAGAAATTATTTTAACAAACAGAAGAAATCAAAATTAATTATTATTTAGTACTAATTCTAATGCACTGAATATTTTTACACATATTTTTATACATTTTTTTAGTTTGTCATTGCTTTTTCTCAAATTATTTGTTGTTTTTGGATATTCAATTGTCTGCACAGTTTAATAATAATTCTAAAACATCAAATAAGACTGAAAACTGAAGTTTTTCAGAGTCTTAGACTACCATTATTATCAGGTTTTTGATTTGGTTTCCCTTAATCAGGGTGGCAACAAAATTTGAAAAACAAATTTACCATAAAAAAGAATAGGGGAGCACAAAATTAATCATAGAAGAGTTAGATGAATTTCATGTACTATAAGCGGAACAGAATTACTGGAAGGAGTGTTTTTCATATATTTTTTAATGTCCAGAGAAAAGTTCGAAAAACTTCAAAACCTCAGAAAAAAGAAAATATTGATGAAGGCCACTAACAGGAGGAGACCCATTGAGATGAAGAAAACGTTGGCAATTCCACCACAAACTCTCAGATAAAATTATTATCTGTGTGGTCCATCACCACAATTTATAATCTGTTCTTTCACAGTAGGCCATCTGACATGCAAAAGATGCAGTCTTTTATAATACGAGATCTGCCCAGTCCACAAGGCAAGTTTGCTCTCTGTGGCAGATCCTTTAAGGTGTGTTTACATTAGTAAGCTTGACAATAATAGTACGAAGCACTTTTCTAGAGTATGCTACTTTTGATATAATTCCAAGATTTAAATTATTAAACAAACGAAAAATTTCATCGCAATTTTTTCAGAAACGCATTTTAAAGTAAAGATCCTTTTCTCTTCATCACTTGTATTATGACGATTTTTATTTTAATTATTTTGAAATAAATTTTTCATGGATAACAAAAAAATATGATTTCTTCCAGGCACTTTCAATCAATAAGAATAGCAAATCCCTTGGCAATTATACAGTTTTTAAACGTGTTGTCATGACCATGCAAGAGTATTCTCTTACAACCATACCATACACAATACCACGCTCCATCCACTGAGCACATGCTGAGATTGCCTCTTTCTTTGCCCCCAAACTCTAAATGTAGTTTTTCTCCTTCATGCACATCATATTCAGTTTATACATACTAGATAAATACATGAATAAACAAGCAAAAAGCTCATATGCACTCCTGTGTCACTTACTTTGCATTCTTGAGCTGTCTTGTTGTGGTAAATTGGACATGCATCAATGGTAAAATGCTTCTCCAATTTGCCACTAAGGTGACCCATTGAATCACACCCTTCAATGGGGCATTTACGCTCCTCTTCAACAATTTTTGGAATTGGTTCTGCAGCAGATGTGGAGGCCACAGCAGCAGCGGCAGCTGCTGTTGCCCGTGTTTTTGTTTTGGGGCGTGCCATGGGTCCTTTGGGGCCGGATTTTTTGGCAGGGGCTGCCTTTGACTTTCCTTCTATACAGAAACACAAATTTCCATCACAGAAACGGCATAACACTAAACAGATTCAATGCATGTTAATTATGGTTATCGGTAACATTTGTAGGGTTACAATGCTTGCATGCAATACATAATTACAATTCTGCTCATTGAAGTCACTTTGTTTGGGGATATTATCTAAAAGTGATACAATTTCATCAACTAGACATAGATGAAACCATTAACTCAATATTTTTAACAATAATTTTGCATTTATTCAGATTTTATCACAGATATGAAATAGTAAACATTTTAAAATTAAAGAACTTTCTCTGTTGGAGGCAGGTTATGTACTTCATTGCACACCAAAAAATCATCTCAAGCAATATCTCAAATGCATTAGAAGTTCCGATAAATTCTCAAATCATGAAGCCCAAAAGAATTTATCTGGAAATTTCCAATGTATGAGTAGAATTTATTAAGACTATTCCATGGATGAAATTATGTATGAAAGAGTTGCAGAATGCACCAAATATTAATTATATTACTGAAACTTGCGCTTTAGTGCATACTGCCTCCTACGACTGATGTATTGCAATTTATGATTTGCAAAAAAAGATAAGTGGTATGAAAAATCAGATTGAAAAAGAAATACCATTGTTGAGACACATTACCCGCACTACCCTGATTGGGGTAGACCCGATGTATTATAATTGGAGTTAATTTCTTTAGTGGAATTGAAACATACTGATTTAAAACATTATATAACATAACGTTAGACTCAAATCAAATTCATTTCTATGTTTTAGTGTACAAACTAGCAAGTGCCAAAAGATAAACAAAACATTTTGGAAAGAACTAACCAGTTTCAGATTCTGTATCACTTGTTTTCCCGATTAGATGTTTACTTCGGCGCGCACTTGAAGATCTTGTGGACTTTCGAGTAACTACTACTGGTTTGGTGGTTTCTCCTTCGCTCTCGGTCATTGCCACAGGGTCAGGCATAGATGAAGAATGTGCTTTTGGCTGAGGCTGGGTCCTTGGTGGTGCACGCGATGTGCTGGGTTGTGGGGCAGGAGTGACAGTGGCTTTCTTGGCAGGGCATGGCTTTTTCTTCACCGGTTTTCCTGGAGCTGATGATTCTGCAGATGACTCGCTATCAGAACTGCTATCTGCAATGACAAATACAAGGAGCTACAAGAAGGGCATTCAAATATAACATTATTCTCTACAAAAACAATAAATTTACACAGTAACATCACCATCAGTATTACATAATTTCCAGAATTTTATAATACCAAGTGCATTAATGAAGATGTAATCACACTGAACAAAAAACAATTTTAAAAAAAGTTGCATTGCAGAAGCAAGACAATTAATTGTCACAACTAAACATATAAATTAATGATGATTTAGTTCTCAAAGATAACATCAGTTACAAGAAGTTAATTATTCCACCATTCACAGCCAAATAACTAACTTGACCATAACAAAATAAATATAAGAAAGAAATTAAAGCACATTAACGACAAATATTATTGTATTTCTTGGGTTGACAACTCCTATCTTGTCCGGATTTGGTTCAAATTTCCCAGTGATTCACAGAGTAAATGCCAAGAAAATTTTTTGTTTTCTTTCTGAGTAGTAAATGCAGTTTCCAATCTCTCAAACATCACACACAGTTGTTACTGTCTTTTAATGTGTGTAAATAAAGAAAATAGTAATGCAAATTTTTACTTGCTTTATTATCATATCATACTTTACTTATTATATCATAAATCTTTAATACATGAGGGATGAAGGTCTTAAGTAGCTTTTTGTTGTTTTTTCCTCAGTTTTCGCATTATATTGTGCAAGAAATACAAAAGTTTTCATTTAGTATTAAGTGCAATGTTTAGGACCAATGGGAGAAAAATTGGACTTTAACCCTTTGCATGTATGTTGAGTTCATCCTCAACATGGCAAACATAATTTCAAATGAAACATTAAAAGTTCAGGATAATTCCAATCTTCTGGTTTAACTGATAACATTAATGTACTAGATTTGTCAATACAAATAGTTAGTAGAAATTAATAAAAGCGGTGATTTACAGAGAAAACAAATGGGAAAGAAAGTTCAAGTCTAAGGTGATGAAAATATATCTTGATTTCTGTACATGTCTGTCCTAAACAAACACTTGGGAAAAATTGGTTAAGTGAGAGAATTCATAGAACTGTAATTCTTAATGCCGTAACTATCACTTACATCAACATCCCATGAAAGTTAATTGTAGTCAGAATTTCTCAATCTCCACCAGATGATTTTTCTCAAAAGCAATACATGTAATTGGAATTATATGGTTTACCAACACTACATTGTGAATGGAATTATGAAACAAAAATATTTATAGTAGAGTTACCATTTACAAATCTCTTAACATTAAATTAATATTAAAATAGAAATAAAACAATATCAAATGGTTTACACTCACATTTTTTCACAATATATCGCACATTTTCAAGCCCTTTGAAACTAGCAGAATATTTAAATAAAAATTTAATTAAAATGAGTATCATTTACTTGCTCTCTTACAAAACACTTTTCCAACAACCATTTCTTGTTATATTAGCAATCTGTACTGAAAGACATCTTGTTGGAAAACAAAACAATAAATTTTTCTTTAAAAGTAGTTTCATGAATACATACAATGACTCAAATTATGAAGTTATTAGTAAATAAATGTTCCTAAACAACTAACACAAATTTTACAGAATAATAGCGTGGTATTTGAATTTGACAGAGATATATGTATGCAGAAATCAAGCCCAGTATGTATGGTTATATTGAAATTTCAATTGTTATCTATTTACTTGTAATAATCTGAGTTGATGTAATGATTTGAAATTCATTCCAAAATAAGAAATTTATAGCTTTTTATCTAGGAATTGAGATTCAAGATTCCTTACCGAAGTTCAAGATAACTTATTTCTACAGTTAACAGAAAACACATCTTTTTATTCTGTGATTAATTCTACATAAAAAATGTACATTTTTGTAAATAACCCAACCAAATTTACCTTTATGGTATCAATACAAATGAAGCACTTATGGTATTTTTGTAAATCCACATTCCTTGAATTAAAATGGAATTTAACTGTTTTGGTAATTTGATGTAATAGTTTGATAATGTTAGTCTGAATACAGTTGCATGTATTATTCTTGTCGTATTATCTCTTTGAATTCAAACATTAAATAGAAATTGGAGTAAGAGAAAAGGACAAACAATGGATGCATGCTAGAAGAAATTCACATAATTCTTTATTTTGTGCAACTGGTGTTTAACCTCTCAAAAAAATTAAGACTCAATTCTGTACTCAATTTTGAATCTTCAAAATCCCAAACATAGAGGGAAAGATCGTACGATTATAATCACCCTCAAGTCATATACATCCATATTAAGACCTTCGGAACACATTTGCCCTTGCATTTCTTCAATTCAGCACGAGAAATTTGGTTATTCTGAACATTCCTACGGCCACAGGTTACAAACGCAGCTTGCACACAAATACAAGCTATTATTATTATTATTATTACCAACCATTCTCTCAATATTAATTTTTTACGTGACCTTTCATGACTATTTTATAATTCTATGGGATGTAACAAATATTGACAACAAATGTCAATTGCTGAAAATACTTAATCTTGTACACTGTAAATAATCCTGCAATGGCTTTTACTGATGGGTTTAAAGGACAAAAAAAAATGAGTTGGAGTAGTCAAATAAATAAAAGCATACCAGATGATACAGATGATCCTGATGTTGATGTTGTGGAGCTGTTTGATTTGGTGAGTGGCGGTGGTGGTGGTGGAGGAGGAGGAGGTGCCACAGGCACTGGTTCTGCCTTTGCGCTTGCTTTAGGCTTTGGTTTATTATGTGGCACAACTTTTGCAGTACTCTTCATGGGGCTAAGTTTTGGGGGTTGTGAACTTGCATCATCACTTTCACTACTGTTTTCAGGGCTAAAAATGCTTTTTGTTTTTAGTTTCTTTTGAGCAGCTGACTCTGCTTGCTTGTTAGCTGCTCCTCTAGCATTTCCTCCCCTGTTGGCAGCTCTTGCGGGTGTTGCCTTCACTCTAGGTTGTGGTTTTGACGGTTTATTCACAGGTGTTACTGTAGCAGTGGCCTTAGGTTTTGCTGGTGGTTTGCGTTTTGGTGGTGGCTTTATGGGTATATCTTCCGACTCTGAAGAGTAAGTAGTTGTAACTTTGCTGTTTCTACCTTTTGTTTGTGTCTTCTCCTTGGATTTTGAACTTTCACCCTCATTTGATGCTGCATTTTTGCCCTTGACCGGACTTGCCTTTTTCTTTGGAGTTTTTCGAACATCTGAATCTGTCGATGCAGCACTTTTTGCAGCACTTGCTTGAGAGGATGAGGAATTTTCTGAATCTGAAGAACTTGACTCACTCCCTGATGTTGATGATGATGAAGAAGAAGATGAGGAGCTGTTACTGGAAGAGGAAGTTTCTGAGCTAGTTGCATTTGCCTGTAACATTACAAATAGAATACATTAGAAAGTGACGGACAACATTAACTTTCATTTACTACTATAAGATTTCCCCAATACTACAATTTGGCCATATTACCAAAAGTATGAAGTTGTTTTACTTGTGATCTAGTTTAATTTTGCCATTTGTAAACAAATGCTGTGTCCTTAATTTATCCAGTAAACAGGACAAAAGTGACACTTAGACGTAAAACATTTTCTGAGCAAGTGGAATGTAAAATTATTTCGTTTAAATATATTCATATTGAGCATCATACAAATGAGTAAACTATCTTATCTTCTGATCAAATTCGTCTTCAGATTACGTTGCAAGATGTATCTCACAACACTCGTTCAGATAACTGTCAAAACAAATTTTTAATTTGGCTGAATAATTCATGGCATTTCATCACCTAGGGCAATAACGCATGCTACTTTATTACATTAAATCATTTAAAACGTACGTATAGCTAGCATATAAAACAAAAAAGGACATGTAAACAAAACGGTATCAGTACTACCCGTCAGCTCGCAACATCAACAAGACATTTTAGAAGTGCTAAGGAATCTGACAACCGTACCTTTGACTTCGGGCTCATTCTTGTGACACAAAAACTCCTCTATTTCTGTGAGAAGAGCACACACTTCAGAACGGAAGACACCGCGCAAGAATTTCGCGGGGCAACAGCTTTCAATTCATTTTCGCCACCATTTTGAAAGCACTGTACCACGTGGTATACACAATTTTGTTTTGTTCAATGCCTCAGGTTATGGAAATGGCCGTTAGAGGTCAGTACTATTGTTCTGATCGCTAGCGACACCTATCATTGCATATTGAGGCGTTTTGCCTTGCTTGGAGCGAAAATTAAAAAACTTGTTCTGACGTAACCGCAAGGGGATTTGAAGAAAGGAATAAGTAAAACCAAAAGTAAAATGGTAACAAAATAAAGAAAGAATAGGATCGAAATTTTCTTCTCGTAGGCATCAAAGAACGGTATAAAAAAATTTTTAGTCCCATTTCCAGCAAACGTTATGTATTTTCGAAAATTGCAAATTTTAAAATTTCAAAACAGGAAAATTGAAGATAGAGATTTTTGTCTTAAACATGATCTTTTCTAAAAAACGCCATGAATATTTTGAAAAAAATAGTAACTTTTGGGTAATTTGTAATTGAAATTACTTTAAAAAAATATTTTCTGATAAACTGCTCAAATGTTTTCTCTATATTCATTTTTTTTTCTTAAATTTCTTAAAATCAAAGGACCGTAAAAATTGTGCTAGTCCCATTTTCGGCAAATTCTCCATATTTTCGAAAATTGCAAAAAAATTGACATTTAAAAACTATAAAATTGAAGGTGGAATTTTTTTACCATAAACTAAACCTGTCCAAAAAGGTAAGCTCCTTAAAGAAGGTCATATACTCTTTTAGACAAAACGAAGTTTTCACGTAATTTCTGGTTGAAGTTAATTATAAGACAAACATTTTCTCAAAAACCTGCTCCACATATTTTTGTTTTGAGAAAAAAATGTTTAAAAAATTAAAAATTGCCTGTATTTCACAGTCACAGCAAAAAGTCATATTTTCGGAAAATTCAACATGACCTTATCGCAAGATATATTTTTAAAGATGAAATTTCATAAACGGAAAAATCTCAATCTTCAACATTGTAGTCGCAGTAAGACACCGAAAAAATTGAACTTTTGCAATTTTCAGAAAGTCATGAATTTCAACGAAAATGAGTTCGACACCATTCTCTTCAACGATATTTACGCTTTTCAAGGAATAATTAAATAAATCTATTTTTCGATATCAAGTACACACAAAACATGGATTCCAATTACCTAACATGTTAGAAGAAGTAATTTATTATATACAGAAACAAGATTTTTCCACATTTTTGTTACTAGATCATGACAATAAGTTTTTCTGTCGAAAAAATAGCGCAATTTTCCGGGGCAAGATTACAATACATTATCTTCTAACGAAGTAAGAACGAGAAAGTAATAAGTCGAGAATTCAAAGGAGAAATTAAAAAAAGACACTTACCTCAGAGGTTAGACTCTCCTAGTTATGCTGCAGCTCCTCAAGTTCCGGTTTCAAAACAAAACAGAACCTAAGTATTGCACTACCACAATATTACACAACTTTCCTGCACCTTCAAACAGAAAACGATACATGTGATTAACGAGAACAGTTACATCATTATGCATCAGGATAACTCTCACAATGACTGCTTGAGCAAATTGAAATTGGCAATAATAAAATGTTTCAAAAGTAACGTTTTAATAGCACGCTTAAGTTGTACAGGTTAATGTCAATGACATGTATAATTCAGAAGGTTCGAGATTTACATACAGATCACGAAATAATTAAATGCTCTTGGCATTTAGCAACAACAAGACACCTCATTAAGATTCCCTTTCATTAACAAAACCTAAATGTTACGTTAATGATATTGTTCTGTATCCTTGAATAGAAGTACATTTGACTATTGACAATAACACCACATAATATATTCAAGATATGTTACATAATTGATGAAAAATTGAAAGTTGAATTAACTCTGAATTCACTTGAAAAAAAGTGGAGCATATATACAAAGTTACAATTGATACTGGAAGTTCATATAGCACATATTAATTAGAGACATGAAAATCCCAGAACGATTAAATGTTTGAATTCTTCTAGAATCAACGTAAAAACAACTCAAAGAAGTAGTTTATTCAATCATCTAAATTTAGTATCTTAAAATGAAATCTTTGATGAAAAATATTTTTGAACTATCATACTCACCAAGTACTGTGGAGAAAACTTCATTAATCGTATGCAACAGGATAGTTATATTTATATCATTATGAATTACAACAAATTGTCGATATGAACTGAATATGTTTCCACCAGCTCCTGTACACATCCATTACTTGATCATAATTGTAGCAAACCAAATTAATTAAGGGTAAAATTCTGGCAATGGTACATAACGTACTCTCCAATCCATCCGAAACCTAGAACTGCACTGTCTTAGAAGCGGTTAAATGACTGTTAGGACAGCAACCAATCATCACGTGACTCCTTTTCTCTTTAAATCCAGCCCGAGACTGCCTTCTCCGATTATTACGTCACAATCAGAAAACGATACAAACTAAAGCGTCTGCAAAAAGAACATAAGTGGAAAGAAAAGCAACTCTGTTTCAAAGTCATTCTGGGAATGCATAGAGCATACTAGCCTTCCAAATCGGAAAATTACAAGTTATAAAATTCTATGTTTCAATTTCCTCCATTAGTTCTTAAATATGTGCTACATGACAATAATAAAAAAATGTGGGTGTCAATATTTTACACTTTTAAAATTTAATGTCTACAAAAAAAATTAAAATTTCTTAAAAATTCTATGATACATTTAAAATATAACGAGATACTATAGTAAACAAAATAAATTATCTAGTGCACATAGTTTGGAAAATAACGTTCCCTGAATTGAACATTGTAGGTTCAGGGTCTTCCGGGTATTTTTAAAGCAATTAATTAATTTTTGCACATCCTGCCTGCGAAGATAACGTAAGTTGAAACAAAGAGCTATCTTTTCTTTTATGTACTGTGGGTATGTATTTGTTCTGGAGCACTCTCATTTCAGGAGTTGAGTGCCAATCTCCTTATTGGACAAATTCTGTTATATACAAGTATTTGATTGCGGTATATAATATATCATTATAATATATCATTTTTATTTACTTGTTTATTTATTTACTTGTTTATTTATTTACTTGTTTATTTATTTATTTGTTTATTTATTTACTTGTTTATTTATTTACTTGTTTATTTATTTATTTATTTATTTATTTATTTATTTATTTATTTATTTGTTTGTTTGTTTGTTTATTCAATTTATGTATACGTGCACAGATAATCGTTTCCCCCCTACGTAACATTCATTTTTTACTGTTTTTACTTTTTTCTTCAGTTTTTACTTTTATTTCATAATTTATGAATCGCCGTTGTATTGCACTGGGTGATACGTTTTCATTATAGACAGCTTCCGAATGTTTCCTTCCTTTTGTTTTCTGTTGTATGTTTGAATTTGTGGATTTCCTATAACTGGAAAAACTTCATGTGTTAGGATTTGTTGATATTGGTGACTAAAATAGGGTTGTTCCTTTTGCTTTTGATTCTTGCCTTGTTTTTGCCTTGAATTTTTTCCATGGGTCATTGTGAGAATATTTCATTTTGCGATCGTGTAGATAAATAGAGCAATCCTGCAAATTGCAAAGATTGCTCTATTTATCTACACGATCGCAAAATGAAATATTTTTACCTTGAAAGGTAAGCGGAATTTTATCTGTCAGCATCTTAGGCAGTTGTCATTGTTGTGGCTGCTGCTGATGGTGCTGTTGTTGTTGCGGCTTCAGCTGTTGTGGCTGCAGTTGCAAATAACTGAGGAATTTCCGAATATTGCAATGGCGGGTAAATCGCTCCAGGGACATATCGCAAAATGTCAGTATACAAAGTAACCATCATCGTCTCATTGTCAGTAGTACACGTAAGCTTCCGCGGCTCGAATCCATAAATTCTCGGCTATCCGGGAGACGCCGCGTCGTTGGCTGGGAGGCCAAAGTTTCGCCTGACATGTCCCACGCTTCCTCAGTCACTGCCCTGAGGAAGCCTGCGACATGTCAGGCGAAACGTCGGCCTCCCAGCCAACGACGTGACGTCTCCCGGACAGCCGAGAATTTAATTCATTTTCAGTAGGACGAATTCAGTCGCTGTCTGGAGGAGAAATCGAGAGGCCGGGTGCTCTGATCAGTAATTTTCCGCGGTTTCTCCGATCAACACAGGTGAATGCCGGAGTAGTACCCTAACAAACGCCATTGATTATGCGCGATCTTTCCCTCCTCTTCCTCGTTCTATCCTACCGCACTTACACTAACATGCACTACACTACCATATGCCGGGAGACTGGTCGGGAGCGTAGAGCTTGTCCCGGCAAGGGCGGTGACTCGCTGGTGGGAGATACCTGGTTGTGGGAAACCCCGCTAGCTGACGGTACGTCGGCGTGTGTGTGTGTGTGTGTGAGTGTGTGTGTGTGTATGTATGTATGTTTTGCAGACCAGTTATGAAATTTCACAAATTCCTGACAGTGTTATGCCTGTGTTGACGTAATTGCTGGCTATTCTGTTAAAAAGGAACTCTTCCCCCAAAATTGTAATGTTTGCAAATTATGGTTACAAACCGATAAAACCGTAAAAATGTCATTGAGTACTGAATTTCGTATTGAAAGCAACCGTGGGAAATTAAAAATCCCCACAGAAAATTCTGTTAAGGCAACGGGCTTGGCTTGGTTCGTATCCTAGAAATGGAAGAAACGTATCCTAAAAATATACTCTGAAAATTTTCTGACTAATGTTCATCAGCTATCAATTTTGTATAAATTTTGCTGCATTAAGTTAGAAGATTTTGAGAACATTAATGATCATGAATATATCTGTAAAAATTTGCATTATATTTTGCTAAAAATAAATGTCAGTTCATGGAAAGTGATGATAAATGATATTACAAAAAATTAGGACATATTAAATTCCAAAAATTGTTCAATGCAAACATAAAAAGTGAGAGTAATGCAAAGCATTGTGAATAAATTATTTTTCTCTATCATAACTTCGTTTTCAATCTACATTCCTCAAGCCCATTTTAAGTTCCTTGTCAGTGTTATAAATGCACGTTCTATTACTACTAATATTATTAGAAACTATATACTAGTAAGGTGGTTAGTGTTAT